GATATCTTATTTATTGCCAGCATCTGATCTTTAAAGTCATCTGCTATGTTCAGCATCAGCAAAACATTTAACATATACTACTGCAACTTAAAAAAAAAATTATAGAATAATTCCTATTCTAGATATTCCAGAGAATAGAAATTTCTCAGGTTTTGTTTGGTTTCTGAGTCTTCAAAACACTTCTAAGTGAGATGAAATTTAACTAAGAATTATTCTGTCATTTAAGTACTATTAGTGGAAATTATTATTTTTTCAAAGGCTTTCCAAAGAACTTTCTGTTCTCTCCTTGACCGCCCTGATGTTTGACATCTCTGAAATGAACTTAATCTTCTGGGTATGTCCCTTAGAGCCTTTCAGTAACTCTCCCTTTGCCAAAGACCTGGTATCTCCAGCTTCAGGCAGTTGTCAATAGATGATGTTCTTTTAACCAGAGGTGGCATGCAGCTCAACATAAGAATCATTCCAGGCACTCCTTACTATAAGGTAGAGTCATGGGTTCAAACTCTGCCTCTTTTATTACTCACCACCTCTGTCACTTCATTCCTCTGGACACTAGTTTCTTTATTTATGAGATAAGATCGGACTAGTTGACCTCTAAGATCTCTTCCAGTTCTAACTGTAAAGTAGGTACTATGATTCTGTCACCTGCTTGACTTCATGTCTTTGGATGCCTGGCTGTTGTCCGTCCTTCCCTTAGGTGACCACCCTAAGCTTGGTGTCTTAAATTCATGGAACTTTCCCACTACTCCCTAGCTTATTGATGTCCCTGGATGTGAACTCTTCCCTGTTTAGCTGAATACTTGATCTTAGATTCTGTTAAGAACCAACCACTACTGTGACAATTTGCTAGCCTGAACTACTTTTCTTTATATTTCTCACCTCCCAAAGCTGTCCACACACCTGAAGGGATACTAATAGCTTCTTCTGTTGGTCTAGGGGTTATCCCTGCTTTGAGGTTTTCTTTAAAAAGAAAATAGTATGACATTAATTATTCATTAAAATCTTTAAATTAACTGCCCCCACTTTAGCTTATTTCCTTAAATGGTGACTATTCTAATTAAGGCAAAAGCCATAATTTTCTACCCTCCCCTGAAATCTAGATTCAAACTGTGACCTAATAGCAAGCTATCTCTCAGTGTGGTGGCTGCTCCAAACACCATACAGAGTGCAGTTATTCCCATGACTACATTTAACCTATCAAAAAGAGAGAGAGAGAGAGAGAGAGAGAGAGAGAGAGAGAGAGAGAGAGAGAGAGAGAGAGAGAGAGAGAGAGACGTGGAGTGTGGGGAGAGAGAGAGGCCTGAACATTAGAAGGAGAAGTGGGTCCCTATCATTTCCAAAGCAGCAAGTCTCCCATGGGATTGCTGGCTCTGAGTTTCTTGATTTTCTGTGTGACAGGAGTCACCTATTCCTCCCCCCCACTTCCTTTTTTGAAATCGTCAATTTAGCACACAATGAATGGGAACTGGGTGTCAGTCAAACTGGGAGCACTGGCTGTCAGTCAAACTGGCTGCTGTTGACAGCAATGTTTTAAAAAAAGGGTCTAACCCCTTCAGAAGAATTTTCAATGTAAGCAGAACATAATACCCTATTTTTAAATGGTTAAACAGTTGTTTTCTCTCTGCTTTACAAAGGTCTTAATTGTGGGGCTAATAATGTCTGGAACCGTGTTTTTACATTTTATATGAGCACTTTTAATCACTGGGCCACACAGACACTTTGTAAGAGCTACATTACCAGACCACTTTGTTTGGTTTTGTATTCCCATCTACTGACAGGTCATCTAGATTCATGCAAATAGATACTCATACAAAATGAATCCACTTTGTGTTTGAGGAATTTAAGGCAAATTCTTGAAATCCTTCAGAAATTAAAATTTACTTGCACTTAGATGACAATTTTACAGAATTACAGGACAAGAAGATGCCTAAGGGGGCCATCTAGTATCTCCTCTAGCCTCCAGCTTTTTGTTGGCAGTGATGGTCAGTTGTTTTGGTCATGTCTAACCCCTGGTGACCCCATTTGCAGTTTTCTTGGCAGAGATATTGAAGTGGTTTACCATTTCCTTCTCAAGCTCATTTTACAGATGGAGTAATTGAGGCAAACAGGATTAAGTGACTTGCCCAGGGTCACACAGCTAGGAAGGGTGTGAGGTTGGTTTTGAACTCAGGTCTTCCTGATTCCAGGGCTGGCATTCTATTCACTGCATCACCTAGCTGCCAGTCTCCAGTTAAGATCTTATAGAAACTTTATAAAAATCAGGAACATTTATTTAAAAAAATTAATGGAATTGAATGGAATTTACCAAATTCCTCAAGAATTTCACAACAATTACATATGCCTTTTTAACAACTCTTACAGTGAAAAATGAATCACGTGGTGGTTCAATAGAAGGAACATTGGACCTGGAGTCATAAGATCTAAGTTCAAATCAAGCCTCAGTCACTTGCCAGCTATGTGATAATGGGCAAGTCATTTAACCTTTTTTGCCTCACTTTCCTCATCTGTAAAATGAATGGGAGAAGGAAATGGCAAAGCACTACGGTATTTTTGCCAAGAAACCTTAAACAGAGTCACAAAGAGTCAGACATGACTAAAATGACTGAACAACAACAAAAATAGTGGAAAATATATTTGCTAAAATAAAGGGACATTTATTAATTCAGGAGGAAGTTCATTAGGAATTAAATAGCAGTTTTAATTAAGAAAATAAAATATTTTTGTTCCTTGTAATTACATAGAGTTGCAAACATTGTTGCAATAGTACTTTAAGATGTGCTTTTGTAAATGAAAGAATCATTTTACATTAGAACATTTATTCTTCTTATCCAAAGGGTAATATCGGTTGGGGAAGAAAGAAAGAAAGAGAGACAGGGGCAGAGACAGAGAGGGAGAGAGAAAAAAATTTTGTTTATTAATTTGTCTTAGCCAATTTTTTCCTCCAAGGCTAATGTGGAGTTTAGGTCATACCATTTGAAATTATGACTAATTCTGAAGTTTTGGAGTATAAATTAACAAATGATAACACTTTATGATATATTCTCCATATTCAACACCTTAAAATGTTTATTTCTTTGATTATCAGGGGAAATAGTGAAGAGCTGGTCAGCATCATTTTATATCTCCTTTCTAATTATTTTTTACATAATTACTTTTTAACCTATTATAATATTTCTTTAAATCATTTTAGGTGCAAGATATAACCTCTATACAAAATACATGTAAGTATCCTCTGACGTCAGCATTTTAAATATAAAACATATATTCCAATAGGCAAAACTGGAATTCTCTACTTACTGAACTCTTTTAACCATAATGTGTTGAAACCCCTTAATATATCTTTCTTGTAGTTAGCTTATGATTTTGAGTACTTTATCCCATTAACCTTCATTCCACATGATGCAAGTCAGGGACCAAGTTTCCCTTCACTTTAAAGACAATTTCTTCTTAAGAAAATATTTTCTATATGCTAGGACATTTGGAGAAAATAATTTCATGTGAAATTTATTGAGTAGTGCTTGAAAGTCAACATTATAAATGAAAAACTTTTTCTGATTTGTATCCTTTTCTATAAGCTGATGAAAAATACTTATATCTATAACCTGGAATTAAGACACTGTAGTGCCTTAACTGGAAGACATAATTAGAGATTGCATGTGGCACTGAGCCATATACCATTGTTTTCACAACATGTAATTATAATTAAACACACTTTGATTGAGAAATTCTATTCCAACGACCATTTTTATTTGAACATTCTAATTAATACCTAGAACACAGTGTGGTTCAATGAAAATTCAGGATGGAGTTCTAGGTCTGACATTGTCACTAATTGAATATTCCTTAACAACTTTATTTCTTTACTTATTTTCCTCTAAAATGGGAATAATGTGATACATTCCTACTTAACACAGTGTTGTGGGGGAAATGAAATAAGTTGTCTAATAAACATTAAGTAAAATGAACTTACTTCCTCTGATATACACATGACCCAAGAATCCTTCTCCTTCTGAAGGAACTAAGAAAGTAATAAGCACATGACCATCACATGCCTATAATGTTGTTAGGCATCATAATGTCATTAGATTTCACTTTCTTATATCACTTATTTTAACTGTCCATTGATGCAGGCATTAAGAGTCCTGAACTGTGGTGATGAAATAGTGGTTATCATGGTGGCATATAGTGAGGAAAGCTAGGCTCCATTTCTGCCTCTAACACTTAGAATCTGTGTAACCCTAGCAAGTCACTTAACTTCTCTGTGATTCAGTTTCCCTATCTGTAAAATGGGAGTAATATCTGCAGTACCTATCTTTGAGAGTTGTTTAGAAGCTCAAAGCACATTTTTTTTCTTTTTTTGTATGTTGTGGTCCCATTAGGATGTGATTTCCTCGTAGAAGGGACTGTGTTTCTGCCTTTCTTTGTATCTGAACTTTAGTATGTTTGACAACTAGTGAGTGCTTAATAAAAAACTATTAATTAATTGACTGACAAACTCAAATAAAATAAATATATTTTGCAAAATGCTTTGGAAATGTAAAGTGCTATATAATGATAAGTTATGATGATGATGTGACAAGAATGCCTCGATTTGTAGGTTAATACAAAACTAATGAATGCTCATGGATGGAATTTGCAAGCAGAATAATTCTTACTTAATGTTAATAAGGAATTCCTAATTATTAGAATTTCTTCAAAAATGAAATGGACCACTTCAGCAGGTACTTAAGTTTCTTGACAATGGATTTCTTGCAACAGAATCTGCATGACCTGAAGCCAGCCAAGTGCTCTGAACAGCAGCTATTTCAAGCAAGCATCAGTTACAATAATCTTCTATCCGAAAACATCTCAGCTCTGTCAGAAGAGACTTGAGAGACGTGACTGGCCCCAAGAGGTCACTGCACAGGCAGGCAGAGATTGGAGCTATACTGATCAAAACACTGAGAGAAGGCTGGATGACTGATGGGGTGTTGGGAGAGCAGCAAAGGCCAAATACTCACTCCTGGGCACCAGTCCTGGGAGGGCTATGTACCAAGTCTGATCTTCAACATTCCACTCAGAAGTGTTAGAATTTCATCAGTGGAGCCTGATAGATGATCTTGCAAAGAGAAGGAAAAAAAAACACCCTAGATCAGAATCACTAATTCTCACTTTCTCCTCCATAACCATCTGGGTCCAGTGTCCAGATATCGATCAGCAGTACTAGAGATGACCCAGGATGCAGTGGGAGACAATGAGGCTGGTGACTTTGCACAGCCCTCCCTCACTCAAATCAAAGTCAACTGCAAGTCATGTCATCATCTCCCTGATGTCATGGTCCTCTTCAAGAATGAAGGACAAATCACAACCTGTGAGTTGTCTGAGAGCTGTCTGAATGGGGACCCAGCTGGCTAGTTCTAGTTGGGCAACTTCTCTTGTCCTCTCTCCCCCGACCCTCCCTTTTCCTTCTCTTCCCTTCCCTCCCCTTCCTCCACTCCCCTTATCTGAGCGTATTCTGCCCAAAGAAAGGTAAATTTACATGCCCCAAAGCTGCCTACTTAACTTGAGGTTTACTGGCTAGATTTCTTTCTCAAAGACCAAGCCTTAAACCTAATTCACTCAGGATCTCCAGGATTTGACAATAGGTCCCTGCCCAAGCACTGCTTAATGATTATTATTTTGGGCCCTCCTGTCTCAGAGTGAATGTAAATAGTAACTATTTCTCTTTTGGCCAGCAAGAAGACCCTCCCAGTTTGATTTTTTTTTTAATTAAAGGGGCCATCCCTTGACTCACTCCTTAAAGAGGCCTATTCACTGAATGTGCCTTGCCTCACTCAAAGACTATCCCCAAGCACAAAACTTAATCTGAAAATATAGAAGAAAATAGTAATCACAAGTAACAAATACTGTGAGTTAATAAAAGCCTAAGATTAAAACCCAGAAGAAAGTAACCACATAACTATAAGCAGAGCTTCAGAGAAAAGATGGTTTGCCCCAAGGATTTTAACAAAAGTTGAAGGGAAGAAATGAAGTAAGAGATAAAGAATGAAATGAGAGATTAAATTAAAGGGGAAAATGAAAGAAAAATAAAGAGCTTAGAATAGAATTCTGAGCTTCCAAGTCAATATTAACATATCATTTAATATCTCCATAAGTTATGACAGAATACTGTAAAAGATTAAATAACCATTTCCACCTGGTAAAATGTAAATTGAGGTCAAGATAGCTTTCTCTACTGCCCACAATAATTTTGGTGGCCAATAATTGTTACATATTCACAAAAAGTAATCAATTAGAGACAACATCATGGAATGTCTTCCAAAACCCAAACTAAGCACAAATCACTCTTATGTTATCTGTGATTCTTTCATTATCTGTGCTGCTTTTCTATTAAGCATGGATAATTGAAACTTGCCTGTAAAGATCTGGACTTTTATACTATCTAGTATCTCTCTCTCTCTCTCTCCCCTTTCCCAACCTACAACTTTGTGAAAATGTGCACCTTCATCAAACTGGAGTTTTTTTTAAACCATAGAAAGAATTCAGCAATAGAATTCCAAATCCAAGGTCCCTTTAGGGAGCCAGATAAGAAACTCTACTTGGGCCTTGGGGTCCTATATAAGGGCTTGTTAGTACTTTTTATGGTTGTTTGAAATGCTGGCTATCTCATAATCCATAAGCCCATGTGCCTACTTATTTTGAAGAACATTAACAATTTAATAAAGTTACTGCCTGCTTTGCTTCCATCAGCAACCACTGTATCAGCCTTCATTCAGGCATGACCACAGTAACCAGGGCCATCACTTACACCACTATGTAAATTCTCATGTTGGCCTGACACATAGCTTTTCTCATGGTACTATATAACTCTGGCCACAGGAATTTTTTAAATCTCTTCACATCCATATAAATTTTGTTTATATCCATTTAAAGTTGCAATCTATTTAATATTTAAAATACCCTTTATTGAATAGTAAATAGAAAAGCTGATGGGGTTCATCGCTAGTGTCCTTCTGACAATTTAAGGGATCAGTGGATTCTTTTTCATTTTATACCCAGAGTTTTTCCCGTACTCCTGCCCTGGTGAGACCATAGCTAGAGTACTGTGTTTACCTGTAGATGCCACATTTTAAGAATGAGACTAATAAGGTACAGGGCATCACAAGAAAAGCTTATCAGTATGATGAAGAGCCTTGAGTTAAGACCATATGAGTACTAGTTGAAGGAGCAGGGAATGTTTAGTCGGGGGGGGGGGCGGTGGGGGAGGAAGATGTAAGGGGGACAAAGTAGCTGTCTTTGAGTATCTGAATGACTGTTACTTGAAAGAGAGATTCAACTTCCATTTGTCCCCAGAGGGCAACAGGATTAATTGGCTTAAGTTTTAGAGAGGCAGATTCAATACAAAAGGAAAAAATAAACAATCCTTCCCAGTAACTAAATCTAAATCTAAGCCAAAGCAAAATACACTACTTAATAAGGTAGAGGGTTCCCTTTCAATGCTGGTTTTCACAAAAAACTATAGGTCCACTTATGTCAGGTATGTGGTACTGTAAATGGGATTATTGTTCAGTTGTGGATTGGATTCAATTGCTTTTGAACTCCCTTTCTTTACTAGACTATTTCATCCAATTTTCTGTGTCTCTTTTACTACCTAAAATATCATTCCGAACTCCTCAAAATATGCGTTCTTAGCCAAGATGGTGGAGTAGAGGCAGAAACTCACCTGAATATTCCCAAATTTCCTTCCAAACAACTTTAAAATAATGTCTCAAGTAGAATTCTGGAGTGTTTGAGCCAACGAAAAGGTCAGAGTGAAACAATTTTTCAGCCCAAGACAACTCAAGGAAGTTAGCAGGAAAGGTTTGCCACACCTTGGTGGTGCTTGGCTCCAGAGTACAATGCAGACTGTGCCAAAATGCCAGTAGCAGGCTTTGGAGGTGACTATTACAGTGGCAACAGCAGCTTCCCAAGCTCCCAGACCATGGAGAGTAAGGGGCGGGGTGTGTGTGTGAAAAATTGGTCAGAAACAGACAAGGGACCAGTTGCTAGCACTAGGTGTAGAACTACTGATTTCTGGGTCACAGGTTCAGGGCAAAGACAATCAACAGCACTCTGAGGCCACAGGGGAGGAGGGGCCAGGGCAGTGGTAAGAAGAGTGCTTGGGATCACTCTCAAGGGAGCAGGGGTCCTAGTCTCAGTTCAAAGCAGAAAGGACCACTAGCCCTGGCAGCCCCAGGAAAGCAGAGGCTTGAGTCACAGTTCCAGGGCCAAAAGGAGTAATAGTACTTTTTGCTGCAGGGAGGAAGGCTTGCACTTGTAGCTACTCAGGAACAAGGTCCCTTCTAGGGTAAAGATCAGAACACAAGCCAGTGGAGCAGTGACTACTCCTTTCCTTAGATCATACCAATTTAGAAGCACAAAAAACTTACTGACTCCCAGAACTAGCTTTGAAAACATGGCATGAAAAATCTGAAGCTTAAGACAAGGCCCTCTCCAAAGCAGGAGCATAACCCAATGTTAATATAAAGTTAAAAGTCAAAAATAGGCAGGGAAAATGAGTAAACAGCAACAACAAAAACAACAACAACAACAACAACAACCCTAACCATTACAACTTACTATGGTTATAGGCAAGATAAAGACACAGACTCAAAAGAAAACAATGATATCAAAACAGCTACAAGCAAAGGGTTTTTTTTGTTAATTTATTTATTTTTAGTTGTCAACATTCACTACCACAAGGTTTTGAGTTCCAAATTTTCTCCCCATCTCATTCCTCCCCCCACTTATACCAGGTATGTGGGATGGGATTATTGGAGTGCATTCTGAATACCCCTTTCCCTAATCTGCCCTCCCTTCTATTTCCCCCCAACTTACCCCCTTCCCCTTCTATTTTCCTGTAGGGCAAGATAGATTTCTATACGCCATTGCCTGTATCTTATTTCCCAGTTGCATGTGAAAACAATTTTTAACGTTTTTTAATAAAAATTTGGGTTCTAAATATTCTCCCTTTCTCCCTCCCCACCCACCCTCATTGAAAAGGCAAGCAACTCGATACAGGATATACATGTGTAGTCATGCAAAAGACTTCCATAGTAGTCACGTTGTAAAAAACTAACTATATTTCCCTTACTCCTATCCCGCCCTCCATTTATTTTATTCTCTCTTTTGACCCTGTCCCTCCTCAGAGTGTGTATGTTATTCCATCCTTAAGCCAAATCTGATGAGAATAAGATTCATTCATTTCCTCTCACCTTCCCCCACTTCCCCTCCACTGTAAAAGCCTTTTCTTGTCTGTTTTATGTGAGATAATTTACCCTCTTCTACCTTTCCCTTTCTCCTTCTCCCAGTATAATCCTCTGGCACCCCTTAATTTTATTCTAAAGACATCAACTGTTCATCTTCAACTCACCCTGTGGGCTCGCTCGCTCTCTCTCTCTCTCTCTCTCTATACACACACACACACACACACACACACACACACACACACACACACACACACACACACACACATATATATATATATAATATATATATATATATATACATACATACATATAATTTTTCCCTCTGACTACCCTAATATTGACAAAGGTCTCATGAGTTACAAATATCATCTTTCCATGTAGGAATGTAAACAGCTCAATCTTAATAAGTCCCTTATGATTTCTCTTTCCAGTTTACCTCTTTATGCTTCTGAGTCTTGTATTTGCAGGTCAAAATTTCTATTCAGCTCTAGTCTTTTCATCAAGAATGCTTGAAAGTCCTCTATTTCACTGAATGTCTACTTTTTCCTCTGAAGGATTATGCTCAGTTTTGCTGGGAAGGTAATTGCTGGTTGTAATCCTATCTCCTTTGACCTCCAGAATATTACATTCCAAGCCCTCTAGTCCCTTAATGAAGAAGCTGCTAAATCTTGTGTTATCCTGATTGTGTTTCCACAATACTAGAATTATTTCTTTCTGGCTACTTATAATATTTTCTTCTTGACTTGGGAAGTCTGGAATTGGGCTGCAATATTCCTAAGAGTTTTCCTTTGGGGATCTCTTTCAGGAGGAGATCAGTGGATTCTTTCCACTTCTATTTTGCCCTCTGGTTCTAAAATATCAGGGCAGTTTT